CAGACTTCATATTAGTTTCTGAAATGACTTCTTACGAAATATTCTAAAATAAAACTGGTATGGTCTTCGACATTTGTTTTCTGGATTTTTTATTATTAATAAATCTAAACATCACTAGCACAAAATAAAGATAACTAAAATCAACTCTTTCTCTTTAGCTTTCTGCTATTTTGTGTCTTACCTTTTGTATTAGCATGAAAGTAAAATAATAATTATGTCCTACAGTCAACAAGAAATTATATATATTGTAACCTGTAACCTTTATTATAACATAATATAAAAGGTAGTAATAATATTATATACAATTGTTTGATATCTACTTGTCATAGGAAAAAATATTGCTATATTTCAAATATAGCAACCAGTATTTGAATTGGATATAAACACAGATGTAATCCAACTATTGACACATTTCAATATGCTTTTAAGTGTCATGAACTTCACCATGCTGCTTCTTAAAAGACACAGCACTATAAACGAATTACATACACCAGTTTAAATTAATGTGTCATTACACATAATTTATGAAGCAGCAGCTTTGTAAAGAAATGCTTCTGGAGTTATTTTACAATAAACAATTGCATCTGTTTTTCTAACATCAAACCTCTAAACATTTGCATCTACATTCAGATTCGCACATGCAAATAGTCCAAATGGCCTCAAAAGGGCTATTCAAATGACAATTTTTCAGGACTGAGACATAAAATACAGTTTTTAATTGGTGGTCATGCAGAAGCGTGTTTTAGTAGGAAAAAAAAAAACAACTGAGAAACAAAATCAACAAGCTTTCAGCCCTTCTATTCCTAGTTAATTTTTATTAGGACTAAGACTGTCTTATACAAAGCTGAATATTTAAGAGGAGATGATAGTCTGACTTCATTCCACTGTCACAGGACATGAAGTATGTAATGAAGTATCATTTGTGGAAAAGAGGAAAACCCAATCCTTACTCCCACACTATTGTATGGGAGTAATACTACCATACTACTCTATTGTACTAATTGCAATTTCTGTGTCTTGTTAAATTTTGGAATACATTAAGTTGGAATACTCTAGCTTAGGTGGAATTTACTTAACATTTTCTTTATTTGTACATTACAATTACATTTAAGTTAAAACAGAATCCAAGTGACTACTTACAATTAGCATTTGTCACAGGTTTTTTATCACTCCTGTCTGTTAGACTTCATTTTTAATCAATGAAAAGGATGTGATATTTTTAACAGTACCTGAATTAGGCAGTTCTAAAACTAGCAGTCATTTCAAATGACACAAAGTATGCATAGTAGTAATTAGTTGGTCATACAGTTTATAACTGATTTGGGTGGATGTCTTCACAGACTGATTCAGAGAGATGCTATTGTAAAGTTTTTATGCATGTAAAAATATGAAAAAAAAAAAAAACCTTTATGATGCTAATAAATAGTCTAACTTCTAAGACCATGCACAAGATTTCATAAACATTTCAACTAGTTTAGGAAACCTTTCGAAAACTGTGTACTGTGCTACAGATTCTAGATGTGACAGCTGACAACATAAATTTTCTGGATGATGATGGAGTCAATGTTAGTGCAGCTGTAGCAACACTAAGACATGCAAAGGCTTAAAGTTTAGTTTCAACTGCTTGAGTACATTTTTCATAAGATTCAAGGATTGTCAATGATTTATGCTCACTACATAAATTCTAAATTGCCAGTAAAAATAGGAAATAAAATTTGAACCCCTTAAAATTATTTTTGGAAGTATTTTTCAACTGCACACATAAGAACTTAGGGCAAGGCACTAAATTATCCATTTCCTGCAAATAAATAAAACTTTAAACAATAATAGTGCTTTAGAAAGGAAACAATATCCATATTGAAATTAATATAAATACAATTTATGCATATTAATATTTTTATTGCCTAAGTAATTAAATCAAAATATTTAGCCTACAAAATTTTTATTAGAAGCCAAAATGTGTAGTCCTGGGAAGCTTGCTTGAGCAAAGACTGAAGGTTTTGGCCATGGTTCTTTAAAAGTAGCCAATCTCTAAGAGGGTGATTAAAAACAAAACACTGATTCTCACTGCACAGAATACAAATCCTTGTCCATATAGTCCACAGCTTTATCTATCTTGCAGCACAAAGCCTAATAATACATTTTTTGTATCTATTGTTATTTACATAAATTACAAGGGGCTAATCCTTGATCCATAGAAACATCTTATTTCTCATTAAGTACTATTTTGCCTCATCAAAATCTCCATGAGGGATTTTTTTAAAGTGCATTCAAAGTCCAAACAGATTGTGTTAACCAGTTCTCTTTTATCTTCTAACTTGAAACATGCTCAAAAGTCTTTCCAATATTTTCATATACTTAAATCCACGTTCATTGGATGGTTTAGATAGTCAGAATTATTACCTTAGTTACTTCTTTTGTTAAGACATAAGGCTCCATATTCTTCAGTTTAGATCTTCGTCAGATTTTTAGCAGATTAGCTACTTCATTTTTGAGTTATGTTAGATCCCCCTAATATACCAGCGACAAATACCAGCAAGTCCTCTCCTAAAATTTTTGATTCATTGAAGTGTAATGTTAATCCTGCATCTTATCTCCTCATGCCTCAACCTCTAATTTTCACTAGACAAATTAGTTCCCAAGCTAATATCATGCGATGACGATAGCTACACATAAATATAAACGTAGTTTCTCTTCAATATACTTATCCTCTCTAATTGGATTCTTTACTTGGTTATAATCCCACAAATCAAATGATTCTGTCAATGGTTTCCGACTTCTGAATGATTCACTTTTCTTACAACTGTAAGCCTAAGGAAGAAAGCTATAGCTGGAGTGAACTTATATCACTTTCATTCGTGACTTCAAATCTGTTCACTGTGTAGCATATCTGGTATTACGCAGTCCGCTGTTGAAGCATTGTGTAACGTACTGCACATGGCACAACAGACTTGATAAAATTATCCTGCATGTACTCTGTGAAGTTTTCTAGGGTGCGCATGCTGAAGTGAAATTACAGATCTTTGTTCTGGGTCCATAAACCACTTTTAAAACATAATCTGATTGTATTTTCTTTGAGTTTTTATAATTTTTTATCACCTCATCCCATTTTTTTTCACCTCTGTGCTACTGTTTTTTTCTGTTTGCTTTATTACCTGGTTCTTGATAGTTCTCTCTTTGTATGTCCTTGTGTTGTTTTCTTTCTTTTTCCTACTAATTATTAAAATATTATTTTGTTTGTGTGTGTGCTCTGCTTCTGTTTGACCATTTTCTGCCTCCTACTTCTTCTCTGTACATGCCTTCTCATCCTGCTACTTTATCATTTTTTTCTGCTGTGTGCAAAAAAATCACCTGTCACAGAGTTCATCAGATTACAGACAACAAACATATGGGAATGTGGTAGAATGCTATCATTGAAACAGTGATTTCTGTCACATCAGTGTTTAAGTGCCACAACTGTCACTGGCATGTTACAAATGCCTTAGATATACAATCTGTGGGAAAAAGAAAAACCAGAAGGTTGCCACTTCCCTAAACATGTGAAAACTAGTGGACAGATGGTAAGGTGACATAGGAAGCTCCAACATTAATCTAAAGTACACCACAGGGATTTCTTTTTCACCTGTGGTTTACATGTTCTGAACCAGTTGTAAAGTCCATATGTTGACACCCATAGTTATGTTCTCAGCTCAGAAGATAGTATCAGAAAAATGTGGCAAACAGTGGGGACAGGGACCTTCTAAACAACAAACCTCTTATAAGATGGTCAGGAAGACAAGCCTTGACTCTGCCTGACAGATTAGAAGCTAGTTAAAATATTTAAACTCTGGTACAAGTTACTGTTTCTTAATACAATGAAACTCCTTACTTTTTGATTCAGTCATTTTCCATACAAAACTTATAAGCAGGCCAGGGAAAAAGGACCCAAGCATTTGTGAACTATCCTTACATGTGTGTTAAAATCCTTGGGTTGGACAAGATGACCTCCAGAGGGCCCTCTCAACCTAAACCATTCTGTTACTCTGTGATCCTCTGAGACGGAGGTGTAACTACAAATCAGACCTCTCTCACAGGAAATGCTCAAACTACCACATTATTGTGCAGAAAGTGAGCAGTAGGATTACCTATTTCTGAAGGAATGGGAGATCCCAGTATTCCTAGACTTTGCTTCTGAGGTATCTACCACTACCTATTTTCAAGTCCAGGTATTGCCTGAGAATGATGTAGTATGCATTACTAGCAATCCTCAAGGAATCCCACTGTTGAGTTTCTCTTTGAAACTATGTGAGCCTTTTTGAATTCACAAGAAACTTCACAAATAATCTTAGATAAGTAGCTCTGTGTAATGTAAAAGAAAATGGACATGAAATGAATATTCAAGAGTGAGTAACATTCAGGATCATTTCAAGTTTAAAAAAAGGTACTCTAGAGAAAGAAGAATACTGGACAATTCCAGTTTCATGCACTAGAGGCTCCAAACATTTCAACACCTGAAGTTTTCAGAATAACTTATATTAAGAATATTTTTTTTCTTAGGAGTAAATTTATACCTTGATTTTATGGTGTATGAAGTGATATTTTATCAATAATATAATAAAATAAAAGCGTGCAGGGTATTTTTCTAAGGTGCAGACAATAGCGTTATGAATTCACAGCAGCACAAAATATATTTTATTCTGTCATCAGTGATGACAAAAATAACAATAAATTTGTGTAATAAACTGGGTATGTTTATACACACAGCTTACTCATTTAAATTTCTAGAAAAAGCTAGTCACTATTAGTAGTTACCAAACACACAGAAAAATTACTAAATATATGGAACTGTAAAAAAAAAACCAACAAAAAACCCTAAAAACAAAACAAAAATCACAATTAAGACTATTATTTCAATACATCTAAAATGTAAAAATTTGGTATTATTACTTTCCTACTGTACAAATGCCTCCTGTAACAGCAACTCCACCAACTCTGTATTACTTAAGAATCTTTATACTTACCCACGCACTGGAATATTCATATTCCTTGCAGATTTAGCAACATCTTCAAATTTTTCTATGCTTTCTTCAATTGAACAATTAATATTCATTTTGCTAAATGTTTCAGATGCTGCACCAAATACTGAGACTTCTGTGGCCCCCGCTGCAATCTGAAAAATACATTTCAATAAAACTGAATCATAACATTACATTAAAAGATTTTGTTAAGCACTTAATTCTGTAAGACATTCTAGAATTTTAAGTACATTATAAGTACATAATCCATACTTAAAACATACATTTAATTCCAGTTTTTTTTTAAATCTATTGCATAAAACCAGATTGAATTAAATTTTGAGTTCATTCACTATGGTACATTTCCTTCTTTTTCTTAGCAACTAGGAAAACATATTTTTAAGGTGATAAATGATTAAGGTATTACAAAAGGAAATCACATGAACCAACTACAAAAATAACAATGATTGATACTTGTATTAATTTTTCAGAAAAGGAAAAGATCATATAACAATTCTGAAATATTTATCCTCTGTACAAAGCCCGTTCCTTATGAATGCCAGGAAGTCATTCTCATGCTTAGGAAAGCTCTGCGCCTGCATGTGCCTAGAGCAGCGACAATAACCAACAGGGATTGCCTTGTTAGAGCCAGCTCTAGGATCAAGGCCTCCATTGGTCTTAGTGTCATAGTCAATACGAATCACACAGAAAATGTGTCTGTGAGAGTCTGCTGAGAAAAATTCTCAGAGCAAATACCAGTCTAGAAAATGTGTAAATGTGGTGACTTCACTGAAGAGGCAATTAACCTCAGCTTGTACTCAGTACCTCCATACTCAGTAAAATCAGCTAATAACATGAGGCAAACTGGAATGCTGAAAGCCAAATGATAGAAGAACCAAACATTTAACCTTAGGAGAATAGCCAATTCATTAATTCTCATTCTCTAGTGAGAATATTCTTGTTCTATGAAAAGGAATGGAGCTTTTCCTTGTACTCTCTGCTTCTGCAGGGTAATGTCCAAGCTTCAGCAATACTTACAGAAACAAATACCCTTTCAAATAGAAATTAAAAAAAAAAACAGCAGCAAGAAAGAACTCGGCAATCACCTACAACTATGTTTGCCTTGTTTTCCTTTCATCATATCACTAAATACGGTATAGAGATACGGCAGATTTAATCAACTCATACAAGCTACTATTGCAAAGTTGTGGCACTATCAATCTGCATATTGATAGCTAACTTGCCTATGTACAGAATTTTAAGAAAGATTTCATACGTAGTACAGGAACTGAAGGATTGATAGACTATACCACAGATGTCTATCAAGCAGTATGCTTTCCAAACATGGCTTGTCCTATATCAAGACAAAAGCATAGAAGCATGAAAAATTTTCATAAAACAGAAAAGTGTAAAGATGTGACTAGCAATGTGTGTGTATGTATGTTTCAATAAGACTGAACTGCTCCATTTTTGCAATTCCAAACATTTTGAGTCTATAATTTTGAATAGTTATTGAACTATTGAATAAATATAATGAACTGAAAAAATTTAAACTTTCAATCTCTACAAAACTGAAGTGCATCATTTAAGAAATCTAATACATTCCTATAAAATATTTTCATATAAGTGACTCCTTCCTCCTTCTTCACTACTTTCCAATAAAAGACATTCTTCCGAAACATTTCCAACAAATCAAAGAAGGAGAAGGAACTGTCTTTCTCTTTATACACAAGTGTCATTTATAGGAACTTGAAAAGACTGACCAATACTTCCATTAAAATATAAACATATAGAACATCATGATTTTGCCCATTTTTCACAATGAAAACAAAGTTTTTCATTTAAAAAGCTATAGTTTAGTTCTAACAGGACAGGTTACATGACATTAAATAACTAACATGCTGCAGAACAGAAAGTATCTGAAACATGAAAGATGCAGTTGTGGACATTCATGAAGGCACTTACAGCAGCATGAAAACCATGAAGATTAGGCGTAAGAACAGGATACTGGACTCCAGGATGCCGTTCAATGCCCCTCATTACTTCTTTATGATCTGCCATCTGAAATATACAAACAATTCTTATTGATCAGGAGTTATTTTCTGATTTTACACAGATAAGCAGAAATTGGCTTAGACTATGCTTTTGCCTTCATTAGGTATACAGTTCTAACAAAAAGTATAGCAGCGAAGGGGTTAAATGGATGTTTTACAAGCATTATTTTTTTTATTTCTTAACCTTTGAGTCAATACTCAAAAGGTTAAGTTGCAAGCTTTCCAGTTCTACATGAATACAGAACTGGGGTTAAGATTTCAAAAGTGGGTTTGTTTACATGTATCTGTAAAAACACCATTTGCACCATAAATTGACAGACTTGCAATCATGCTGATCATCAACTGTTATTGAAAATTTAAACTTAATTTAACTGACTCAATAGCTGGAATTAACAGAATAACTGACATTTTAAAACTATCTAAATCTTGAAAATGTCAGCACTCTGATAAATGAGACCTCACAATCTTTAAGCATAAGTGAACCTGAATTACTCAATACTCTAATCAGCATATTTGAAAAGACTAATCACAAGTTTATCCTTAAAAATATGGCAAAATCCAGTTCTCTTTGTCATGTAACATTTTAATATACTCAGATTATTTTTTTTCCAAAAGAAGACCATTTCTTTATTCAAGCATGTTTTCTTCAGTCTCCCCTCACAAAAGAAACTTTTCCTTTTTAAAATATTTCTCCACTTTTCTCACTCAAGATTAAATATACTCCATATACTAATCAAGAAAAGGGATCAAAGTCTTATTCATGTCATAAACTATAGATTATTTAGACAAGCATATTTTCTTGAAAGAAGTGGAGGAAAAGTTAGTATTATTTTAAAAGTGGCAATGCCTAGAAACAATACAGTGGATAAAACATATCCCTCTTATTTCATGTTTTACAGATTTTGAGTTTAAAAAAAATAATAGTGTATTTTAAAAGCTTTTTAGATCAGCTCTCACAAAAGAAAATCTTCCAAGCAAACAGTATTAAATTGGATTTCTGATTCTATCCACACTGATGAAAAGTCATTTAAGGGGTACCGTATGAAAAGATATATGAACTACAAAGCTTTTGTTACTCCTTACTCTCAATTGACATTTTATTGATAACTCTGCAGTACCCCAATTCTAAATATGCGTTGTTAAATTATACTAGATTATTAAGTGACAATACTACTGGCAACCTGAATTCTTCCTGTCACTGGTTTCCTACTACAAAAATGAATAGATTAAAAATATCAGAAAAATGCATGTATGTCTCCTTTAATGTAAACTCAACATGTATCTTTAATGAAGCAGGTGTGTGCTATGAAAAGTGCCTTACAGCCAGACACAACTCATTTCTCATCAGGAAACAAGTGATGGCACAAATCAACTTTTTGTAATTGCTTCTACATAAACTAAATCAGTATGACCACCTAATACATCTGATAGCCTCACAAAAAACATTGGTAAATACCTTAGTTTTTTATGAATATTTTTTCATTCCTTAATTTAATAAAAATAATGTCTACATTTCTCAGGGCAAGGAACAATGCTTGAAACCAAATGATTAATTAAACGGTAAATGCTGGAACTAATTCCACACTTTGAAATTATAGCCTGACTTAAAATACATTAAAAACCAAAAAATGACACTTTTTTAACCAGTATAAAGCTGCCACAGTATAAAGCTGCCAGATACGAATAACATTATACGCATTACATTTGTCCCGCTACTATTTTTCCTGTAAGTAAAATCCCATTTTAACACATATTGCATGTTATAAGGTTTCAAATTGTAATAAAATATTTTATTTTCCAAATTTCTTTAAAAATAAGCTTTCTAATGGTAGGTATTTATAATTTTTGGCCATTTAGGTTATAGGTGTGGGATCCTGTTTTATATGGCACCTCGCTACTGTAGAACTTTTTCTTTTTAGTTTTTTTCATTAAAAAAATCTGTGCCAAGAAAAACAGTGGATGGGAAATCATAGAACAGCTTTAAAATACTAAAAAAAGAACTAAGTGAATGAATGATCTAAACATAACCATGAATTCTATTCCCATGACCTATGAAAAGAAAAAAGGAGCAAAGTCGAGACTGCATTCCCTATCAAAGCAACACAATCTTATCTTTTAAATAAAAAACATTTTTAAAAAATATTTAAATAAAAAACACAAATTAAGCCATTAAGATAAAGTATTCAGACATGAATTTAAGATAAGAAAAGATTGCTCATTTTTTTCCAAGACTGACAAACCTCTGCTAAATTTGGTACTCCTAATGGCTCACAGGAAAAGGAAATAATTAAACTAGAAAGGAAGAAATCCACCTTTGCTTTAGCCTTTTTCTTCTAACATTTAAAAACCTACATTATTCTCTGCTGCTGTAACTGCCAAAGTTTGATGGCACTTGGAAAAACTTAGCCTAGTCACTTTTAAAGGACACAATATCATTGCCCCTCCATCAACACCAAAGAAATTCTGCATTGTTGCTCTTCACTTTTCCTATCATCCTTTCTTTAGACCCTTCCTTAGTGATCCCAAGAACACTGAAATAAATCAAAGGAGTCCTTCAGAGTGCTGAACAGTTTGCTCTGCTAATTCATGAATAAGTATGATTTTACTGTTTTCCTGAGAGGAATACAGTCCAGGCCGAGGACATATTCTCAGTTTAAAACAGACAAACTTTATATATATTTGGACAAAAGATCTGCAATAAACAATGTTAAAGTATTTTCTCAAATTAATTTCATGTTTTATTATATAAATAACTTGCACAGTCCTTACTAAACATATAAGTACTTAAATGTTTCTGTGCAAACATGTAATTTCTTGAAAATTAGTTTAAATTATATAGACAAGCACTGACTTACTTTCTTACTTGCAGGGAATAATTAAGTTTGTTAAATCTCAAAAGAAAATCTCCCACCCCTAGTGACAATGGATTTTTGCTGCTGACTTCAGAAAGGTTAGGATTTCTGCTGAATTGCACCATGTGTAAAAATTAACTTTGGAAAAATAATGAAAAAATTATCATGATTCATCAAAACTCAGTACGGCTGGCTGAGAGAGCATTAGATCTGCAAAATAATTAACGTGACTAACTACTGCTACATATACGAAAGTCCCAGATTTAGATCTTCCAAACACACTTTTAAATATGGAAAATGAAATTTCATTTAGGGAAAAAGAACAGCAAAAAAAAAAAAGGGTTTTTACCTTTCTTGTTTACATCAATGACTATTTGTCCTTGGAAGAGTAGAAAAGAGGTAGGAACAACATTAAGTTATATTAATGATACATCATCATTCAAACTCCTTAGTTATAACTGAATGTTTACAGAGATAAACAGCAAAATAAAATGCACAAGTACTTTATTTGCTTCCATTCCACAGTTCAAAATTATCATTGATTGTATTTTCTCTGTATTATTAATTGCAAAAAGTCATTGCCCTGTTATGAGCAAACTCAAAAAGGAGGACCACATGGTGGATAGATACACAGAAATGTACCAAGTGCAGCAGACATTCAAAAATAGGTGTTTGGCTTCAGGGCAGACTCACGCTTCCACAGTAGTCCACACAACTCCACAGGCGTGTGGAGTCTGCTCTCTTGGTTTGGTGCTAGGGAGCACTCGCGGAAAGTTTATGCAGTTTGCACAAGCATCTAGGTTTTCCCGCTCTGGATCTCTGAACTGGTGTTGCTTCCACAAGAAGTCCCCTCCACCATGACTATTTCCCAGAGATAAGACTCAATGCCCTTCATCTGGATACTCAAACTCAGTACTCTGCATCCCAACTGCTTCATATTTTCAAATCTTTATCCCTATAACTACAATCAGTATCTTCTATCCCAGTTGCCCTTTACTCACAATTTTGATCTATCATCCCCACACCTCTTAACCCCTTTCAGCATCCTGTGGCCAATTCTCTCACTCCCCATATACTACTGTCCCTTGCACATATTCACACATACACCCTATGTAGTAATCATGACAAGTTGTACTCCTAGCATTTCTGTTGATCAGGCCAGCAGTGCTACCTGCTGAAGAGTTTAGCTTCCTGCACTCCAGACCAGCTCACTGATAAGACAGCAACTTGAGAAGCTTCAATGAGCTGTGGAGCTCATCAAAAAAAGCTGGAAAGTGGATCAGCAAAGGCTCCCCAAAACAGCTCTGTTAAGGAGTGGCCTTCCCTCCCCTTTCACTCAACTTCATAGCAAAAGTTGCTTCACAGCTTCACAGCAACTTTTAAGCTGAGACACTCTCATGCTCCCTCCCTGCCTGAGAAATAACGCAGCTGCAGAGCAAGAGCCAAGCCCATGCTTTGTCGTGTACGTTATTGACTGGATTGTGACTATGTCTACCAGACTTGACTTCCCAGCTTAAACTGGGACCTGCTGCAACACTGCGAACTCACCTGAGTGTGTGTACTCTTGGCTGCCCTGGTTACCCTCACCAGATTTGCACTGCTCTCACAGACTGCTGGATTGCCCTCTAGTCAACAAGGCTACAGTCTTGGCTTCCTTAGTACCGTGCTTGGCTTTTCCCCTTCCCTTATGGAGCAACCTGCTCTTGCTGCTGCTAAATTAGGGATTTAAGCAGCTTTCTGCACAGCTTACTGGCTCTTCTTCAATTTTGACTGCTTTTTAATAATTATCCCAACTTCAGCCAACCTAAATAAAAGCATAAAACTTGAAAGCTGCCTAAATTGTGTTGGACAACGGTATCTGATTCTTGCATAATTATACAGGCTATGCACTACTGGAAAACTCCACTGCATGTAATGGCATTTAAACATAAATTGAAATAGTTCTGAATGGTGATGATTTTACATACCTGAGGCACCCATTTGGATGAAACAAATGATTTTACATACCTGAGGCACCCATTTGGATGAAACAAAACTGGTCACTTCTATTGCAGGAAGGCCTGTTTTGGAAAGCCGGTTGATTAACTCAATTTTGATATCAGTTGGGACTATCACCTAGGGACATGGAGACAGACTATAGTACAGTATTTCATTCAGTAAGAGACTTTTGTAAATGAAATGTTCTCAGTACATAAACAATCGTATTTTTTAAAATAATGAACTATACTCATGTATTATACCATAACTGTAGTGTTTCCTGATAGTAGGAAGCTAATACATAAGGAAAGCATCAGGCAGTATACATGATCCTACTCCCTTTTTTGTCCACCACAAAAGAATGAGGAAGCACTTTTATAACCACTGTAACAGGTTATAGATCTGGCCTCACTAATTCTTAGTAACCAAACACCAACCTAGCAAGGAAGCAACAAAGGAAATAGTAACACAGAATAGTCCAACCAGAGAGAAATGGAGAGAAAAAAGCTCCAGGGCTGAGACAGAGTAATTCCATTCTCTTAATGCTACTAACATCTTTGGTATCAGCACACCAATATATGCAAAACTATTCACCTATCCTCCTGTTTGTGGAAACAGATGACTGTTTTGATACATGTACCCTATTTTAAAGTCTCTTTTAATCTTCTTCCATGCTTCCCTACCAAACTTCAGGCAAATAATATCAAAACCAAAAGAGCAATTTCTTTTTCTCCATGCCTGTTCAGGAGGAAGCATGACAAAACCTATTCTACTATTTCTACTATAGTAGCACTTCCAGCATGAAAGAAGTAAAGATGAAGAAGGAAGCTTGAACTACTACGAAGATAGCCAGTGTTTCATTGCATTACCAATCATGTCATGACACGTTATTGACTGACGAGATAAATTCCAGAATAAGATATGGCAGTTGAGGAACAGAAAGGCTAGTTAACCAAGTATAGAAAGAAATTTTACTATTTAACACCTGCCTACATAGTAATATACTTTTATTCTAATAAACAAAACAGTTATTAATATAAAAAGAAATAAATATATAGTACATAATAGAAAAAACATGATTAGCAGCATGTACGTTTTACACAATGAAAATAACACTGATATCCATATCAGAACACACTCACACAAAAAACAACAAACAAAACAAAAAAAAAAACGATGAAAATTACCTTTTCGTTTTGTAATCCATCCCTTGGCCCAACTTCTACAATCTTTATGTAGGCAGGCAGTCCAGATGCTTGAGATTCCTGAAAGAAAAATCAATACTGAAACACAAAACAATGAAGGTCACCAAGATCAAAGGTATAGCTTGTACCTGTCTTCTCATATGATTCTGGGTATAAAGTCATATCATTAAGTTTGCTCATGGCCTTTAAAAATCTCTGAGAACATGTTCTGCACCTTGAGTTAGGGAATAGAAGTTAAAAGCCAAAGTTATCCACATGCATGTTCCAGTGCTCCTCTGAAGCCACAAATGTTTATTGTAACAATGTATATAGAATCATAAAGGAACACTGCGTTTTACAGAGTGAGAAATATTCCCATTTCAAAAACCTTATCAATGAACAACTCAGTCCTCCAAACTTCTACCCGAATGTTCTCAATTTAACTGAACAGTTACTTGCCTGTAAACATTTGCAAGACTAGGCTATAAATCCAAAAATAACAGAGCAGTCAAGAAATATTGAAGAGATTATTAATGAAAGAGGAAAGTAAATCCTCTGCCTGAGGATGACGGTTTTAAAGAAGGATTTAAAGAACAAGGAAGGCCCCTGGACAAGAAGAAGACTTTCCCAGGTGTAAAAAGGCAGGAGGCTGGAAGTGACAGGAGGGAAGAAGGCAGCAGTAAGGTCAAAGGGCTAAGGAGCACAGGGAGTTGGAGGGGGAGGAAGGAGAAACAAGCAGAAAAGCAGGTGAAGGGAAATGAAACTTCGGTTTTTATTATTTAGCTGCTCTGTTAATGAATTAAGTTGACAGGTGTGGCAGTTATGTAACCTGGTCCTTTAAGTCTTGATACATTTGAGAGTAGTTGCTTAGACTGACACCCAGAAGCTTCACGTCTTAAAAAACACATCAAATAGCCAGTTGGGGCAAGTTGCCTGTGCCCAGAGAAGGAGACAGGTCTCCGTTCCAGTGTTGATAGCCCATGCTGGGATTAGTTTAGCTACCTATGGGATGACTGCTCCCACTGCACCCACCAGTTCCCCTAAGAGTTAAACACCACTGGAAGAATGACAGTCAGCCCAGGGGACGGTTCCAGCCTGCAGAGTCACAGCTTGCCCAGAGATCAGAAGTCACTTTTTGCAGTGCATAAATATGGTGACTAATCTCACATAATCCACCAAAAATGAAAAACCTGTGTTTCATCCCTCCCCAGCTAGTATCATCAAAGTTCTTTCAACCAAATTGCTCCTGATTTTTCCTCACAGTAACAGAAAATGAGCCTTCCTGCAGCCCCTCTGGTTTCTCCCTGCATTACTGGTGCCTATAGATAAAAGTATGTTCTCTGCAGCACTAGCCAAAATACAGTAAACATATTCCGGAGCATTTACTTTGTATTTATCTGAGCCCAGTAGAAAGAATGGGAAACAGCTGTATAGCATCTATTTGATCACATGGAACATCTGGTAAGTTAAAACTGTCAGGCTGTACTAAGCCCACACTCGCTGACAGTATAAACCTACTTAAATGCGAAGGTAAAACCTTCACATCTGCTGCATATTGTTTCTCCTAAGTTATTTTCACAAATATGGCACTGCTTCAGCACTACGGGCATAAATCTGGGTTATCTCATGATTATCAGATCCTCCTTGTTACAAGACAAATGTCCCAGCTGCACTATGAGTAAAACTGTGACTGGGGGCGGGGGGGTGGGGGGTGGGGGGAGTGGTGGTAAGGAAGGAGGTAAAATAGATTATGTGAACCAAAGCTTAATTTAGAGCATGAAAAATGTATATAAAACTTTGGTGGCAAAAATATTCAATTTCTAGGCCAAATCCTGTAAATCCTATTCAGTTCTTGCTGTGGTAAAACTTCTTCTGTAATCAAAGATCTGTACCTGTCTTTACAGAAGACAGCTCACACAGCTACAGCACATTCACCCTGACATTCATAGGGGTGTTTGCAGCCCTTGGATTTCACAGGGGACAAGAAGTTTGGAAGGGACATTGCAGAATGGCATTCACGTATCCATTCTTATTCTCCATCTGTGATATAACAGGCCTACAATGTCTTTGAGCCATAGTCCAGGCCTCTCACCTCCTCATTTTCTCTATAGTCTTCCTGTCCACTAAGCAGCCCCAACTTGAATTCACTGTTCTTGAAAACAACACTGATAACCATGGAGAGGATGGCTCTCACAAGGGCCACACAGTGGAAAATCAAGGCAGTACTACAGACAAATCCTTACATTCTTCAAGATGATGAACTAACAGCATAAACATCTTGCTCGGACTTTAGCTCTAAGTCTAGAATAGTCCTGCTTTGCATTGAATTTCATCTAGTTTCACCTAGAGCACATTGATTGCTCTGTTCTGATCATTCTCCCCACCATAACAATTTCTCTTGTGCTGCATTGATGAACCCCAGATAACAAGTAAAAGAGAGGCAGAATACCTAGGTTCAGGCCCCTATGTATTATTCATGCATCTTACAGTGTATTATCACTGGATAAAACTCAGAAACAAATTACAACCTATAGAGTGCATGTACCATCTTCTGCTAAGATGACTCTAGCATTTTTCTATTCTGTGGCCCAAGTTGAATCAGAGGAGTAAAGGAGTATCTCTTCACCTTAATCTCATCTGCCCTATAAATGCTCAGTAACTAGCTGGTAGGACATTCTTTCAAGACACTAGAGATATATACTTGGCAAAGTTTTGGGGAAGAAAAAAAAGAAATTCCCTGCTATTTTGGGAGGTCTTCTGATCACAGTGCCACACTTGAAGAATATTTGGACGTAACCTGAAACACAGCCGAAGTCACCTGAGCCACCAGTCACATTCTGTGCCAGGCTTGACGGCATTTCCATTCAGAAGTCTCTAAGAACTTACACAGAATTTAAACACTTCTCTGCTTGCTATCTGGATGGCATTAGATCTTTAACCAAGACTTGGGCTTCGTGAACCAAGTGATCAAGTTCTCTGAACTCTAACCAGAGGATTCCAAACATGCATCATACCCTAGGGTAAAAGGAAGGATATACAGAACCAACAATAAAACTAACTTAGAGAATTTCAACACCTTCAAGTATGGCATGAAATAGTCTACAAATAAGAAACAGAAATAAATAGAAAAGCAAAAAGTAGTTGCTGTATTTTAAGAGAACCCGAAAAAGATGAACCTTACAGAAATACACAAGTACTTACATTAACTACTAAACATGTCAGGTAAATAATTTTGTTTGAGAAAAAAATCTTTAAAAAATTATATTACATGAATTTTATGTAACAAAGTATAAAATGTAGTTATGGTAGATACTTAGCAGTATTTGCTTATTGAATTATATAGTTGCTCTGTTAAAAAGTAATGACTACTGAAGTATAATGTTTGAAATATTGAAAAGGAAATAGTTGACATAAAAGACCAAGAGCCTGGAAAATTTGTTTTTTCCATGTATTAAGCCTTGCCAATGGAGAACAAAAAGCATATAAAACCACAAAAATTGCCTCCCTCAAAACAGAATGCAGCCAAAGAGTCTTTTAAAAAAAAAAAAACAGAAAAACGAAAACCATACCATTCAGCTTGAGACACCGAATGCCAAATTTCTGTATGGAAGCACTTTCTCTGAGCTATAAATAGCTTCAAATTCAAGTTTACTATAGAAATCCTAGTAACCCTTAATTAAAGCAATATAACCTTCTTAACACAACCATAAATGTAATCAAATTAAATAAACACACTTTTTTAAGCTCTGTCACTGCTTCACTACTTCTAGTAAAGGTGCTAAGGTATCTTCAGCCTTCTGATTTTTATTCCATGCGGCTCATTCATATGGCCACTAATGGCACTGGCAAATATTGCCCAGAGCTGCTCAAAAGTAACTGAAAGGACCCAAAAGTAAGGGAGAAGAATCTTGGGGTTTCGGGTCTTTTCAATCTTTCTAACCAAGAAAAGATAAAGCTCTGCTTTCCTTTTCCACAAAGTGGTGTTCCGGCACAGAGGACAACTGAACAAAGGTAGGTCCATCTTGCACAAATTACTCAGGAGAGTAGTTTTAAACAAGAATCAGCAGGGAGGTGGCATCATATCTCCATATGTATATGTGCAGTGACATGGACAAATGTCCAAAAAGTGGGTGAAGGCTCTGAGATAAATAGTACAATTGCTGGAAGGAAAAAAGAGAAAAGAGTGATCAACCTTCTGAACACAGAGATGTCTCTAAACTTTACAAGACACAGAGGAAATGAACAGGAAGAAATGAAAATCTTAGTACATAATCAAATCATGACTGAAGTGATATTGCAGAGACTCGTTTATATAGTTCATGCTACTCAAAGGCAGACACAAAACATATTCATTCCCAAGTTAACTAGGCGGAAAATGGAGAAGAATCACCTATGAAATATAAATAATAGATATTCAGAAAACAGTGACACATCTGGTAAATATCCCTCAGTAAAAATAAACTGAGTATTCATCCTAGAATTGCTGACGTATGCTGCTGACATGACCACTGGGAGAACAGTACATAGTAACAGGCCATGACTAGCAAAAAAACTCATTAGCCCTTGAGAAGCTTTCAGTAAATAAATTTTTCTTATTATAACATTGCATATTCATGAACTGAATGATATCATAGAAATATCAAAAGCAAAGCAGTTGCAAGTGCTTTAGATAACAGGACTAGAATTCAAAATTCCATTGACATACTAGAGAAATAGATACAACAAATTTCAACAAAAAGCAAAACATAACACAACACTTAGGACTATCCTGACTTTATCTGGTGCCAATCTACTACTTAGAAGAATTTTTGCATGTCATCTTTCAGAAATCCCATTATACTTATTTCTCCATTTTCAAAAATTTGACACTCCAAAACCAGATTTTTGAAAGATAGTAGATTGAGAGTACATGACTAAATAGCTCTATAGAAAAGGACTGGGATGTTAAAGTGAATAACAAACTGAATATGAGTCTGTAACATCCTGCTCTCAAGGAAAAAAGAAAGACAAAAACAAACCTGCACCTCAAAAAAAAAAAAAAATGGGCAAATATAATTCTAGGCTATAAACAGGGATGTCAT